GCTTACAAAGACATTAAAACTATAAATATATATAAAATACATAATATATATAGAATTAAAAAACATTAAGTTAACATTAAGTTATATATGATAATAATTAACCAAATAGGCCCAGATGAACCTAAATAAGGAATCGGAAGTAGTTATTTCCTTAAGGGAGACAGGGGGCATTTTGTGAAAAAGGGGTTATAATAACGTTAGTTAAGATTCAAGAATCTTAATAAAGTTTCGTAATAGTACATAAAGGGAGGAGTGGTTATATTGGTGCATGGAAGAATTCTTTGGTGCCTGGAAGATTTGGAGATTGTTTCTTGGGATAGTTTCTTCGGATTTTTATTTTGGAAATCAAGATTGTGGTGTATATAAAAACAAAAACACACGGCATTCCATAAAGCATAGCTGGCATAGGAGGGAATCACAAAATGTAACATATCTCAATATCATTTAATAGATGAGTATTACATTTTTTTTACATGAATAGAAATCTGACATAGTGAATAAATATTTGTGCTGTTCAAAACTCTTTTTAAACAGATTAGAAAACTGTGCTGGCCATTAGCTTGTTATTGTTTCCTTTTCTCCAACACTCTCATGATTCAATACAGATGGGTTAATGAAAAAAAAATTGCATGTTATGTTTTAAAAATAATGTATGGTTAGATCTTGGCAGGATTTAACCAACCATTTATGGTAGCTAGCCGTACCCAAGTACTTCAAAACAGTAATGGTGCATACCTATTTCTTAATTAAAAGCACTGGTGAAGTTTTTGTGAAAGAACATTCAGTAAAAAAATTCCAGTAATTCCAGTACTACTCATTTAAAAAAAAAATAAAGAAAACAACAGCATCTTTTAAAGTTAAATGTGGCTAAAGTGCAAGAGGAAGAAGAGAAACTGAATCCATAGCCAGAGGAAAGTAGATTGAAGGGGAGAAGTTGGAGAGCCTGCTTTGCATGCTGAGAGTTCTAGATGTAACTCCTAGGGTCTTCAAAAGGGGCTGAGAACAACTCCTGTTTGCAATCACGGATGATTGTTTCCCATCAGTGTCAACAATACTCAAGTCGTTACCCCTTATGGACTTTTTGTGTAAAAAAGGAAAAAAAATGAACTTGTGATTTATGGTTTTGATGATTAGACAAGATAGATATACTGTAGAAAGAAGAGATTCATGATGTAACCTTAGAAAGAGAGGTTAAAATATAATTGCACTCATAACTGATGTGAAAAAGATTGGAAGCCACTTTCTTCTTTCTTTCCTTTTTTCCTTCTTTCTTTTCTTCTTACTTTTTTTTTTGCACTTTTAGCTTTTCCTTTTTTTCTCCCTTTTTCTTTCTCTTTTCTTGTTCTACTTTAGTTTGTGTTAGTTCTTCTTACTGTTAAGACTCTCAATAAAAATTATATACACACACACACATACATACACTCAAGTACTAGATGAATAGATGACTGGTGGTAAGCTGGTACAATCTGAAGAACGGGAGCTCATTGTAATGGTCATGATAATAATATTCTAAAAGAAAACCCATTATCACTTTTCCCCCTCTCTCAAATACACGGACACACAAACATTTTTTCTCTTATACTCAAAGGAGATCCAGATAAACATAGAATTTAAACAACAAATTGCTAATAAATTTCACACACATTTATACAACATGACTGCAATCCTGTGTATGCTGATTTGGAAGCAAAGTTCACAGGATGTGGTACTTTTCTCTGAACGCACAGATAAGTCACCACTTTTTGAACTCTCAGCTTAGTTGAGACAAGGAAGGAAGTAAGGTAGTGAACCACCTACTGGGACT